CCCCAAAACCCCAAAACCCCAAAACCCCAAAACCCCAAAACCCCATTCTTAAGGAAGGAAATTGAGTTTTAGTAATATTAATTATCTAATGGAGATGATCATATCTTTCCTTAGACTCTGAATAGTATGGTTCAACAGACTCGTGCTATCAGTGTACTTCAAAGAAGTTCAGATTATTGGAACTGAGAAGGTCCCCAAAGAAGGGCCTATCATATTTGTGGGAAATCATGCAAACCAATTCATTGATCCCATGGCTATTGTTGCATACTGCCCGCAGCATATTAGTTTCATGGTAAGTATATCTCTATGGGGTTATATCAGGAGGGTCAAAATATTCCTTCAGTGAGAATTAGAGTAGTCTTTACATTTCATAAAGATATTATTCCATGCTTTAGTTTTAATAAAATATCTAGGTGGCAGCCAGCACTCACAGGCAAAGAATGATGGGTTTCTTTACAAGAATCATGGGTGCAATCCCAGTAGAAAGACCTCAAGATATTACCCAAGAAGGGCAAGGAACAATAGAAATTGCGGAGGATAGTAAGATAATTGGCCACGAAACCAATTTCAAGAAACAGCTCATGGAAGGAGATACTCTTAAAGTTAAAGGCTGGCCTGAATATGTTGTCACAGAAGTCACTTCTGAAACAGAGCTCAAATTTAAATCAAAAGGCGTCAATTCTCCTGAAACAGGTGTTAAGAAAGAATATAAAGTAATCCCAAAAGTTGATCAATCACAAGTCTTTGCAAAAGTATGGGAAGAACTGAAAAATGGCAAAAATCTTGGAATTTTTCCTGAAGGAGGTTCTCATGATCAGACCAACCTTCTCCCTCTAAAAGTTGGTGTTGCTATTTGTGGGTTAGGAGCAATGTCAAAATACAAGGACACTAAAATTAAAGTTGTCGCATGTGGGCTTAAATACTTCAATCCTAGCAAATTTAGATCAAAGATGATTCTAGAATTCAGTACTCCATTTGAGGTTGACTCAAAACTTGTTGAAGAATATCAAGAAGACAAATAAAACAGCTTGTGGGAAGTTTTTGAACCAAATCGAGAAGAAATTGAGAAGTGTAACTTTTACTGCTCCCAACTATAAAGAGCTTAAGTCTATCTATCTCGCGAGGAGGTTATACATTCCAAGCAGTGAGGTGGAGGACTACTCTCAAGAAGAAATGAATGATCTCTACAAAAGATTCTTCAAGGGATACCAAGAAAAGAGAAAGGAAGAAGAAGTTGAAAACCTTATGGAAGAAGTCTATGAATATGGAGCTGAGCTCAAGTCTTTAGGAATCAAAGACTCTAAAGTCTATGAAATAGAATTCAATACATGGGACTTACTCAAAAAGTCCTTCATCTCCCTCTTCAGAATGGTAATGTCTTTGATATTTATGCTCCCAGGGTTGATGACATTACTTCCAATGTATATGATCAATAGAATTCTTTCCGAAAAGGAAAGAAGAAAAGCATTGAAGAAGTCTAGCGTAAAGGTAGTAGGAGCAGACGTGGTTGGCTCATCTCGTATTCTGTACTCACTCATTCTGTACCCACTGACCTGCACATTCTTCACCACATCTTTGTTTATCCTTCAAAGAATGTACTCATCACTCTCAATCTACGATTGTTTGGTGAATTGTTTCTGGTTCCTTGTTTGCTACCCAATATACAACTATATTTGAGTAAGATCCCTAGATGGAGTCACTGACAACTGGAACAATCTCTTTGTAAGGGTCTATTGCCTCTTCAGTAAAGATACTATGGAAGTGATCAGAGCTAAAAGAGAGAATCTGGCTAAAAAGGTGCATAATGTCATTAACCTCTTTGGCCCAATGGTGTTCGAAGATTTTGATAAGATGAAACTGGTGAAAAATCTCAAACCAAAAAGCAAAAAGAGGAAAGATAGCGATAAAGACTCAGAAGTGACAAGCGATAGTTCTTTCTATCAGCTCATGGACGACATCGACTTCGATGAAGCCTTCAACTCCCTTGAAGAACTTGGTATCTAAGTTTATTGACATGATAGATGTGATTACAAATAAATCAGTTTTTAATTTATTTAAAGGGGTTTTGGGGTTTTGGGGTTTTGGGGTTTTGGGG